TTTTGAGTTCATGTCAGAGGGTTTCTCATGTTTGGGGAGCTGGATCAGAACAATCATACCAGAGATAGTATTCAATAGGTTCTGATCAGTTCTGGAAAACCAGTAGTGGAAATTTTGAGTAGTTCAGAGAACCAGTAAATACCACCTCTGACTGGTCCTGCCCCCATCTAGTCCCAGCTGATTGGGAGGAAATGGGGATTTTGCAGTAACCTTCCCCTGGAGTTGAGAGGGAATGGGGATTTTACTGTATCCTTCCCTTGCCATGCCCACCAAGCCACGCCAGGCCCACCAAGCTATGCCCACAGAACTGGTAGTAAAAAAAATTGAATCCCACCACTAACTCCAACTATCTTTAAACCTGCATAAAATGATTCTAACAACCTTAAACCAAAATGTCTATGCGACAGGCTCAGGTTGTAAGTGTTTAATACCCTCAAATGCATCTATCCCCAACATAAATAGGTTGATATGAAGCCTTCTTAGATACTCACTGAGATGTCCAATGAACACAAAAGGTATATTCTGATGTATTAGTCTTATTTTATGACCCCAAGGTACATAGTTAATATTTTTTTTAAAAAAGACAACTCCACTGATTTATTAAATAGGATACTTTAACATTATTCAAAACTTTTTAGAAATGGCTAATATCTTGGTAAAATTTCTAGTTTTCATCCAAAGTGCCTCAAAAGTGTTTTTCCAAACGACAATGAGACATTTTTTGACCCTCAGAGTGCTAATGACCAGATGACTGATTCTTCTATTTCCCCACCATTCACTTAGAACCAAAGAGGCTTCTTGGATGAAAAACAAAGAACATTTTTAAAAAATGTTCAGTTCCTTTTGGAAAAGCACCTTCGGGATAATCATGAACTGGAAGATTGAGATTCTACACAGCCATTTTCATCCAAAGGTTTGGGAATCTCTAAAACATTTTTCAATATAACAAGTACATTGACAATTTTATGGGATGCAAATTCATCAAACTGAAATGTCAAAATATATTTTAATTGGACATATTTCAATTTGAGAAGACTAATGCTACCCCCTTTTTTCTTAAAATGAAAAACTTAACATTGAATGTATTAAGTTAATAATCCGCTGGTTTTTAAACTAATAAATGGGTACAACCTGCTACAATAATCCCTTTCCTGCATTAGTTACTGAAACAAGCTTTAAGGATCTGAGAAGGTTAATATAGCTGAGAAATCCTTACTATTAATTATTTAACTCCAAGGAATATTTCTGTAATTCAGTGATTTAGGACTGACATATTTAGAAAGAGTTGCAGTAGTCTTAGAAGATCTTTGCAAAGTTCTGCTTAATTTTAGATCATCATGTCTAGGGTACATAAAAAGATGTTTTTTAATCCTGAAATCAAATCCTTATTAACAGTGCTCAAATCAAACAAAAATATTGAAAAATATTGGCATTTAATCTTCATCCCATAGTATTGTTTGTTTACCTAAATTTCTTGCTTTAACAGAGTGGAAAGACAGGAAGTGAGAGCTAGTTTGTTGTAGTGGTTGAGGCACTGGTACACTCTGAAGTCTTGTCCTACCTTGAACACCCAAATAGATAAATGACCTTCAGCCAGTCACTTTCTCTCAGCCCTAGGAAGGAGGCAATGGCAAATCAATTTTGAAAAACCTTGCCAAGAAAAGTGCAGATACATGTCCAGAGAGTCTCTAAGAATCAGACATGATTGAACAGAAGAGAGAGAAAAAAGTAGGAATTAAAGGAAATTTCAAGAGGGTGCAATATTATGAAATATACATAATATTATGGAAGATTTTAAAATCATGTTCACATGAACAAAGCCTCCCCCAACTTCTCCAAGCATTAAAGTGGTTGTGTGCAATGGTGGGATTCAGCCAGTTTGCACCTATTCAGGACAGCCAGTTGTTGGGAAAAAAAATCTCTTTTTTTTTTTTCATTTTACAGGGCTAATCCTGTAAGGAAGGCAGGAAGGAAACATTCTGGTGTTGTTTCTAGCCTAATCTTTATTGCCCTGCTTACAGAAACTGTATCTCTAGTTAACACTTATTACATTGTAACAGCTAAGGTGAAGTACCCATCGACATGAGTGATGTTGAATTGGCCACATGCACCCAGTCACATGACCACAGAACCACACCCACCCAACTGGTCATTAGGGCAGAGAACCAGTTGTTAAATTATTTGAATCCCACCACTGGCTGTATGCTCTGGAAAACTAATGTAACTGCTTTGGATGTTATCTCTACCTGATCTCAGGGTTGGTGTCATCTCTGTATAATTCATATGTCAAGACAGCCAGAAACAATCTTCAAAGCAACTGCATCAGCTTTCGAGAGGACAGGGCCACTTTAATGCTTTGAGAAGTGGCGGGGGGGGGGCTTTTCTCATGCTAGTGATTTGTGAAATGTCTTTTCTTAAAGCTTTGCACAGCCCTACAGTATTTTCTACGCCTACTCTAGATTTCTGGATTGATCAAAGCAAATGAATAGACAAGCTGAAAACAGCAGGTTCTGTTTTTCTTGACAGGCTACATGGAGCAAAACACATCCATCACCACTGATTCTTGAAGGTGAAATGAGATTTTTGCAAGAATATCCAGCCATCTGGACTTGGAGGTACTTTCTCAAGAGAATATCTTCCAATGAGCTTCTCCTTGGATAGTCAGTTTCATCACTCAAAAAAAAAAACATCTGATGTTTAGCCTGATAATGTCCTTTTGGTTTGGCTTTATGAAGATGCATGTCTCAAGCAGGGCTTTCCACATGGTGTTTGACTTGGTTTGTTCTGTCATTTCAAAAATAGAATGGTTTTCTATAGAAAGATGAATCTTTGGGAAGGAAAGAGGGGGGGGGAGGGAGGGATGGCAACCAGCAATCATGAACAATGTTAGGAAACCAGGCTGCATAAACTGCATAAACAAAACAATTTTTCCTTCCTGCTAGAAACATTGAAAGAGTAAAACATTGAAAGAATAAAATATCAATCATCGTTTACCCGTAACTGATTCCCAGGTTATTTGGTAGCTTTCTATTTTTGTGAATAAGATTTTTTTTAGGAATAAAGTTTTCAGAAGCATTCAGCATAGTTTCAATAGCACCTGGCTATGAATAGAAGAGTAAGAGGTACAATCTTTTATTATCTAAATTCTAATTAAGTTTCCATTTCATTCAAAAAACCTATTTAGAATATGATAGGTGATGTGCTTTGATCTGCCTCTTCATTTACTTATAGGGGCTTTTGTACCTACATTGACTATTTGCAATAGCCTCTGTTACTGAACAAAGCTAGATTTGCTTCATTAACAAAAAGCCACATATTAGAAGGATTGTTTTGATTAAAGCCTAAAGAAGCAAATTTCCCCTTTGAAATTGCTTGCAGTCCTGAGCCCCCCAGATTCATCAGCTTAAAATGCCTATAAATCTCATTATAATAGAAAGGGATGAGATGCTTTTTCCCAAAACAGAGTCATTCCTAGAGGCTTTGTCCACCTGAGCTCCTGCATGTCTGGATGTGGCTATTCTCTCTGGTTAAATAATTAGTTACCACCTGTTCTTATGCTGGGAGATGCCCCAATTCATCTGGAATTTTGATACAACACAATAGGAAATTTCCCTTTCCCAAGAATAAAATTTAAATAAATAAATGGCTCCAGTTTTTCCTTTTAAACAGGTGATCTGGTTTTCTGCTGCATGGTGCTTGGAGTGGAAGGAAAAAAAACATGGCCTTTTTATCATTTCAATAAGGGCAACAAAATAATGATGTGAAAAAGAGTGAAGCTGCATCAGGTTACTGGGAGACTGAGATCTGCATACTAAAGCTGGTTGTCATTAATCTGAGCAAACAAAGAGATGAAGGGACAAAGAATGACAGCGGATGTAAATCTATGCAAACTGAGCACAGCAGCACTTAGAAGAAATAAAATATCTCTCATGCATCAGCCTGCACGTTCCCTGCCAAGCTTATCTCGCTGGTTTTAGGCTTCCCAGGCTCCACAAGCATTGCACCTGAATCCCAGGCCTAATCAGAAAATGTGCTCTTCTACTCCTTTGCTGCTTTCAGAGATTTCCAGTCCATTAGACTTTTTAGGAATAAAGAAAATCCTGTCCTTTGCCTCTGAATAGATGCTCTGCCTCACTCTACAGGGAAAGTCTACTTAACATGGTCTCTTATCTGCAGGGCTCCAGGTGAACTATCAGGAGGGTCAAAATCTACAAGAAGGACAGGGCTGCATCACAATCTCTAAACCCCCAAACCTTTTGTATATGCATGCAGCACCACACCCACACTGGCAATCCACAGAGGGGCAGTAACATGAATGTTGCAACATTGTGACCTAAGATCTAACCATTTTCTAGCGATATATGAGTCATTTTAACAACATTGTTACATTCTGTGCAACACATTTGCTACATCTTTACTCTAATAATGTACTTATTACATTAGTCCATTTTGTGGGCTTGCACCATACCTTTGTATGTACTTAAAGGTAAAGGTTCCCCTCACATATATGTGCTAGTCATTCCCAACTCTAGGGGGTGGTGCTCATCTCCGTTTCAAAGCCGAAGAGCCAGAGGTGTCTAAAGACATCTCCAAGGTCATGTGGCCAGCATGACTAAACGCCAAAGGTGCACGGAATACAGTTACCTTCCCACCAAAGATGGTTCCTATTTTTCTACTTGCATTTTTACATACTTTTGAACTGCTAGGTTGGCAGAAGCTGGGACAAGTAACGGGAGCTCATTCCCTTTTGTGGTGCTAGGGATTTGAACCACGGAACTGCTGAGCTTTCTGATCAATAAGCTCAGTGCCTTGTGTGTACTTACTTGGCTTTTATTTTTTGACACCAGGACAAGACCCAGAATTTTTCTTGGCAAGTTTTTCAGAACCTGCCATATGAATACAGGGCATGTTTCCAAGATGAAGGGTAGACAGTTGTTAGCTAGATAGAGAAGGGCTGTTTTGGTACCTTCCTATGATCCTGTGTCAGAATCCTGATAAATCTTATAAAATGTCAAATATACCAAAAGCGGTTTTGCTGATTGTGGGAGCATGGTTGGAATAGCAAAGCTTCTTGTCTTTCTATCATGCATCCAACCCATCCCACTCTACATGTGTACTCTTCCACAAAGTACAAGCAGGTTAAGGAATAAGCTGGTCCAGGAAATGCATGGGTATGAAAGTTTTGTTTATTTGCATTCTCTTCAGGGGAATTTGTGAAGAAGGAGGCAATTGGTGAGTACATGTAGGCTGGAGGAAAAAACCTAAAAATGGATGGTGATAGAAGTGATAGCATTGAAAGGAAATGAGCAGTGAAGCAGGACAGCCGAAGATGCAGAAACATTCATGTGATTGATGGCGATCTTTAGCAATAAGGCAGTGGTGGGGAATTATTGCTTCCAAAGATGCTGGATTTCTTCTAGAGAATTATTCTGGGGTCAGGTTTATTCTGGTTCATTTCTCACTCCTCCTTTTGGTTTACATATCAATAACAAACAAACAAGCAAACACTAGCCAAAATATCTGAAGGTAGCATCCAGTAGGAACCAGCTGCTAGCAAAGTCCAGGAATGGAATAACAAATTGGGTTTTGTCCCACCAGCAAATCCAGAAATTTTTTGGAAATATTTTTACTCACATTTTCTTTTATGTCTTGTCTTGCACTCCCCTCCCTNCTGCATTAGAGTATTGCACTTTTATTTTCATTTTTTGTTTTGTTTTTGACTGCACACTAACAGTTCTATATACCTCTTTTTTCATTGAGCAGGCAACTAGGATAAAAAACACTACATGTACCTGTGGTCTTCTATGGAGCCCACAGAGTTCTCTATGATCATTCTGAAAGCTTCAATAGCTCTGTATTTAGAGATGGAAACATTTTAACTATAGGTGGTCCTCAGCTTACAACCAATTATTTAATCACCATTCAAAGTTACGGTTGCCTTTAAAGAAGTGGCTTACAAGTGACTCCCGTTTATGATCATTGCAGCATCCTTGCAGTTACATGATCAAAATTTGGGCTCTTGTCAAGCGGCACGTATTTACAATGGTTGCAGCATCTTGGGTCATGTGATTTGCAATTGTGAACTTCCCAGGGGAGTTTCAACAAGCAAAGTCAATGGGAGAACCTAGATTCATTTAACAAGCATGCTGAAATGCTTAATTTTCATGGCAAAAGAGATTGTAAAATTGAGTGTAATTCAATTGCCGTATAACTTAATGCTGGAAGTTCTGTTTCTAATTCAGTTACAAGCTGAGTACTACAATAAAAGCAAGACTTACCCATATGTGTAATATACCTCCATCACTTTATGACTTTTAAATCCTTTATTTATTTTATACTAATAATAATTCATGGTTTTTTTAATGCAGTTGGGGGAGCCTAAAATAAACACACGGATATAAATATTTGTCTTCTGAACTACACAAATTACTAAATTTCTAAAGAACAAATTAAACCGTGCCCATTGATAAAGAGCCAGTTCAAACAAATGCAGTATATGTCCAACAGAAAAAAGAAAACAATATTTTTAGTTGTACTCCAAATTGAATAAATCCAAAGTTCTTCATAAATTGATAAAAATTCAAATGTTTGATATATAATGTCAATATCATTGTTGTGGCCTGTCAGCCGTTGGCCACTCCAGCAACCGAATCAGAGGAAGAGAAGACGTGGGAGTCAGGGTTGGCATCAGGGCAACCCAAGAGCTCTCAGGGAAAAGAGGGAATGGAGCTGTCAGAGAGAGAGGAGAGAAGCTGAGCCTGGCCCATCCGTCAGCCCTCAGATGGAGAGTCAACAGCCCCCATGTCTGGAGGTGGTTGACGAAGAAGAGGAGGAACAGCTAGGTCCAGTGCCTGACACACAGTTATGCAGAAGGCAGAGAAGAGGAGAGCAGTGGAAAGTCTTGGGCTGATCCTGGGGAAGAAAGAGCCACCGCTGCTAGCTAAACCCCACCCTAGCTCTGGGGATAAAAGGAGGCAGAGTTGAATAGGTGTGGCAGACAACACTTAATTTTCATGCCAGACAGACTTGTTAGCTTGCTGGGGCTGTTGACACTCCTAATAAAGGAATCTTTTGAGTTCATGTCAGAGGGTTTCTCATGTTTGGGGAGCTGGATCAGAACAATCATACCAGAGATGGTATTCAATAGGTTCTGATCAGTTCTGGAAAACCAGTAGTGGAAATTTTGAGTAGTTCAGAGAACCAGTAAATACCACCTC